GAATTTTCCAAATTACACTCTGCTGTAAGTATGGATTTTTCTCAATTAAACATGTATTATTTTTATTGTTAAGAAAAATCATATGATAATGTTAATGATAATGCAACAACACAAGCACATAGAACATTTTTCTTAGAGGATTTCTGCACATCCTTTTCATGTTATTTTAAAAATAATTATAGGTTCATATGCATTCTCTGAAAGCAATGACTACTACAGCGCACAATTGGAAGCGAGGCCTGGCCTCACCGCAGCGTCTCCCCTAACGCCGCCCCTGTTAGCACACTACCAAACATCCTGTAAGCGCAGGAGCAGTCAGACCACCTATTCACCGCACCCGATTTTACTGCAGGAAAACAACATTGCCGGATCCAATGGTTCTGGAATTCAGTTTCCTCACTGAGCAATCTGTCGCGACCTCCTCTGTGTTTGTGCCAAAGCCCCTTCCTCCTGGCTGCACAGCGCTCCCCGGTGTGGCTCGGTTAGGACTCACGTGTCCTGAGCCCGTCTTGCCATGGCTCCCACCACCCCTTGGTGTGAGCTAAGAAGCACCCCGTAGCTCTGCCCTGCGCTCTGGTGAACGTCGGACAGTGCCAAGCGTGAAATTGTGTGCACCAGCCTCAAACAGCCAAGTGACCGTTTGTTGCCATCTCATTCTTTAACGACGGGCAGTGTGCAGGTCTCAGGCTTTGCTGAAACGATCCCGTGTCTCGTGTTCTGGATTGAGGACGCCCTGAGCCAATCGAGGGCAGCCTTTCACTTCATACATAAACTGAGACCTCAAGAAGACACTGGACGGCCGCACCAGGAGCAAGCCAGGTCCCCTGGCTTCTAGAACCTTCTCACTGTAGCAGCATATACTTTTGCCTTACCAGGCCCTCTCTCTTCCCTCAAACCTGGAAAATCTAGCCCGTCACCCAGCTGGTAACCCCCCCCACACCCACACTTCAGGGGTCTGCCTGGCTGTCCCCCTCTCCAGCATGCCTTCCCAGATTCTCTCAGAATCTGGGGACATACTCCCCTCCCCCAAGCTCCCCTTTGGCCTAGCTGTAGGCGGGAAGCTTGGGGCAGGAGGTGGGGTGCCAGCGTGTTTCCTGTGCTCACGCTGAAGGCTTATTTACCATTTACTTGTTCATAAGATAGCTTCATGCTGGATGCCGAGGGCTGGGAGGAAAAGGCTTGGGTGGGATAATGAGAAAAGAGGAGGGGGCAGGTTTCTGATTGGTGTTGTGGGTTGCAGAGCTCTGCTCTGACGGGTTGGGGATCAGCTGCTGGCTTACCCACGCCACTGCCGCCCACCCTGCATGTCCGGCAGCCTCAGAGCATCTCTGCAAGGTGGCCTCTGCTCCCCTTGCCTTCCGGAGAGGCCTGGAGCCGAGACAACTGGATTGAGGGCACTCAGCTGGGTCTGCCTCACTCCTTGGCTGAGCCGGCATAGCCTGTTCAAGGCTGGAAAGGGCCCAGCCCGGGATGGGAGAATGACTATGCCCAGGGCAGGGAACGGGCTGGCACCTCAGAGCCTCACTGCTGGTTGGCCGTGTACCCTGGGAATCCACCTATCATCTCTGATGCTTAGCAGCTGCCTCTGTGACAGGGACTCGGCTACCGCCCATCTGCTGGATGGCTTCTCTTTCTCAGCCAAAAGCCAGGCCCTGTGGTTGAGACCGTGAAGGCTGAGGGCTCAGGGCAGCTGGGACTGTGGCACATGTGATCAGTAAGGCTGTCTAGGGGCTAGTTGCAGACCTGGTAGGTGTGGGAGAGGAGAGGGGGCTCGAAGTCCCTGCTGAGGAAGGTGAATAGGGCCCTTGGGGCACAGGGAGGGGATAGGTCCTCACACTCAGGGGTGTGCTGAGGTTTGCTAACCCTTCATGCTACTGTCATGGAATCATCTAGAAGCCCTGCCACGCAGGACAGTGATGACTCTTAGCAAGGGGAAATGACTTGCCCACGGTCACCCAACCCATCAGGAGGTAAAGCAGGCTTCTGGACCCCTAAGTCCTACACCCACATACACTTTCTGCCATGGAAAATCATCATCGTAAGCCATGCCACCCCCCAAGCTGGGGCTGTGCCCCTCTGAGCCAGGCCATATTTCTGTGAACCAGGCTGTGCCCCTCTGAGCCAGGCTGTCCCCCCTGAACTGGGGCCATGCTTTCCCCCCGGCTGGTGCTGTGCCCCACTGAGCCAGGCTGTGCCCCCTGAACTGGGGCCATGCTTTCCCCTCAGCTGGTGCTATGCCCCTCTGAGCCAGGCTGTGCCCCCTGAACTGGGGCCATGCTTTCCCCCGGGCTGGTGCTATGCCCCACTCTTCCCACAACTCACTCCATTTTAGTGTCAGCAGCAGCTCACAGGTCAGCAGCCGAGTGGCTCTGCCCCAGGGACTGTAGGTGGGACCACCGGCTTCTGAAGCCAGCATCATCAGGGATGTCTAGGCCCAGAGCCGCCCACCTGGAACTTGAGAAACAGCACAGAGGAAGGCAGGCATGTGTCCTCAGCCAGCTCACACAGAGGGCAGCACCAGTCCTCTGCCCTCTGCCCTTCCTGCAGAGCCTCAACCCCTCACACTTTCTCATACAAGCCCAGGAGGCAAACCTTCCAGGTCTCAGAAATCCCCTACCCTCTAGCCAACTAGGCCAGTTTCCCCAACTGCCCACTGGTTTTGAGAAAACTGGCCTGGGATCCACTGATGGTCCCCATTGCACAGAGGGGCAAGCTGAGGCCTGGAGTCCCAGGGATGCTTGTCCAGGGATACTCAACATACTCCAGATCAAGGTAGGGTGGGAACACAGGTGCCCCTCACCATACCTGCACCCAGGTAGTATCATCCAGAGCCAGAACCTCCCACCCCTGCAAATGACCCAACTGGGCAGGACCCAAGCTGGGGCGGAGGGTGCTCTTTCTGAACCGGGGGACCTGTGGGTCCCCATGAAGGCTGTCAGAAAGAAATTTCCAAGGGTTCAGGTCATGGAGTCATTCAACAAACAACTACTGGGAGTTGTTTGAATGGGAGTTGAATGAGAGTCATTCAACAACCAATTTCTCCAGCCCCTGACTGTCTCTCTGCCTTTGAAAACCATGCCACAGACTCACTCATTCAATAAACACTGAGGTTCTCCCAGGAGCACCAGCCTCCTTCCTCCCCTCCCGCCGCCCCTCCCCACATGCCCTAAGGCTGCTGCACCCTAGCATAAAATAGCAAATTCTAGGGGTGCTTAGGAAACCCAGGTTACCTGCTGGGACTCAGGGCAGCACTGGCAGGTGTCTCTCCAGCACGGGACCAAGGAGATTCTGACACCCGGCCCTGGGGGCTTGTCATGCCCTCCCCCTACCTTCGGCCTCCACCCTGCCCTGCTGCATGGAAAACCCAGCCCCGTGCTCACTGTGGCACTCAGCTGACTTCCTCTTTGTGTCATGGAAAGTGCAGCAATGAGGACAGGAAACTCCCGCAGCAGGGATCTGGGTTCTGATAGGGCCGGCGCCTGGGCCCCGAAGTGGTAGCTGCAACAGGGACCCCGGTGAGCAATAACAGGGTGAGCAGCAGGAAGGGTCAGGCTAGAGGAGGCTCTCGGGCCCCAGGGTCCCCTCCAGAGGATCTGGCAGGTACCACACACAGGGACGGGGGCAGAGGCGGTAACCTCGGCTCTAGGTCACTTCCGGCTTTCCAAAAACCAAGCCCACAGGCCAGAGAAGGAGTGCGCCAGCCCCTTGCCCACATCCAAGCCAGCATTTACGGCTTACCTGCTTTACATTGAATAGGAAGGTGGGTAGAAGGCAGTGCAAGATTTTGTGTGGGTTCCAGACTCACTTGTGAGCTACTGGGGCCTGATATGCCACTTCCCGAGCCTCAGTTTCTTCATCTGTGAAATGGGAGCTTAGGAAGGGGTATCTCTGGTTGGAGAGGGTGCTTAGCAACCAGCCTTGTTCCCGTTGGGCTGTGGTGATGGCCAGAGACGGGGGCTGTGGGGATCACTATACACAGCTGCCCTGACCCCTGGGAGCTTCCACACACCAAGGCCCCAGGGCTGACTGCTCCGCAGCCCTGGGGCTCAGCACACAACAGACATTTGTTGGGGTCAACAACTGAGCGAGTAAAAGGAGAGGCTGAGGGGGCCCCTCGATCCCAAGGCTGAACCAGGGCCTGCTCCAGGAGGCGAGGAGGGACCCCCTCAAAGGTTGTGTGAGGGGTGACCGCAGCCCCTAAGAGTCACTACTCTATCTTCTTTCCACCACGTGAATTGAGTGGGTGCCATCACAGACTGGATCCCAGCCCTGGAGCATCAGGCCAAAGTGAGGGGGGACAACAGGGAGCAGCTGGGGGCCAGGCCATACCCATTCCCTCTCCCGGTCCTGGTCCTCCCCATTCATAGAGAATCCCAGAGACCTCAAACTGGCAGCAACCCTTCCTAGAACAGCGTCAATGTGCCACCCTCCACAAGCTGCAACTCCCCGCCGACACACCCCCCGACCCACACTCTGGGGTGAGCCCAGTGTTCTGGGACCCCGCTGGAGGTCATCTCGCCAACCTCAGCTCTTCTAAAGGAGAAGTGAAAATGTTCACTTAGGTCTTCTCTCACTGTCTGCAGCCAGAGATGCCAGGAGGTCCCCCTCCTCACCTCCCACGTCCCTCCAGTCTACTCAAAGCCCATGGCTGTTTACCCTCTATGCCCTGGAGCCTGCCCTAGGCTCCAGGTAGACCCCGTCTTCCACAACTCCCAGCTCAGGGCTGCCCACCCACCAGGATGCCTGTCCCGGTGTGCAGGTGGCCAGGAGGGCATTGTCCTAGCCCCAGGCACTTTGGGCGGGCAGGAAGCTGGCAGAAGCCAGGGCCACCATACGAACTGGGGCAGGTGGTTTTGCCAGAAGGAAGTTGACAGTTCAACTTCAAACACAGTGACGCAAGCCCCAGCAGCCTTCTCTCCACTACCCGCCCCCCCCGCCCCGCACCGACCCCTCCACCATCCGCGCCTGCCCGCCCCGCCCCCTCTTCCCTGAGAGTGAGACGCAGGACCAGACACCCTCACCCACGGGTGCTGAGCTTGTCAGGCCTGAGGCAGGAGGAGGCCGCGCCCATGGGCTCCCAGTCACCGATGCTGGCCGCTGCCGCTGTGTACCTGCTAGGAATGCTGGGTAAGTTCTGGCCATGGCTTCGCCAAGGACCTCTCCACTTGGGCTCCAGAGAAAGAGACCTCTGGGCCTCCATGTCATCTCTCTGGAGTGCTGTGCAGATTTGGGGGTCACTGGGCACCCCATATGCTTCTCCAATCCTGCTTCTCTCTGTGCTCTTGGGATTCTCATAGCATCCATTCCTTTCTGTGCTAAAATCAGACTCAGCTGGCCCATCCTATGCAGGCTCCCCTCGGCATGGGAGCTTGGTTTACCCCAGGTGTGGGGTAGCACTGAGATAGAACGCAGCTGAGCTGAGCTGGTCCTAGTATTTGGTCCACCCAGAGGGACCAAGGACGAGGGGGTGCACATGCAGGGTCTGCCCTCACTGTGGGCCTGGAGCTGTACTTCTGGGGAAGTCACCCACACTGGCCCCAACTTCTAAGCTGGGCCACGTGTGATCTCAGCTCCCTTGTTAATAAAATGCAGACAGAGGGGACTGGTGGGACTCCGAGTGCTTCCCCAGGGTTTGTGAAGATATGGGGGAAAGGGGGCCAGACTCCTGGGCAGGAGACAGGAAAGCAAGCCATTTCCCAGTAAGGCAGGAGGCAAGGCGGCCTTGCCTGCTGGAGCAAGCAGCCAGGCGCCTGCTGCAGAAGTGGGTGGGGGGAGTGTTGGCGAGTATGTGTGAATGGGGGAGTCTGTGCGTGCACATCTGGATAAGAGCATAGTGTGTGTGTACTCTTGGGAGCATGGCATAGCGCCCCTGCCCCCCCCCCCACTATAGAGGTTCTTTCTGCCCGCTTGGACAAGGTCAGTGTGCACACGTGTTCAACGTGGCCACTTGAATACAAAACAGCAAAAGCAGCCTAGGACCTCAGTTTGCTGGCCTGAGGTCTAGAGACAGACGCAGAGCGAGCTTCGCCGATCCTGTCAGAGTGCTATTGTGGTCTCCTGGTACCAGGAGTCCTTAGAACCATACACTAAAACTTCCCCTGCCATCCTACTGGGGACATAGAGGCTGGGCCCAGCCAGGCCCCCAGGGAGGGTCCTGTTCTGGAGTCCTTCTGTCTGAAGCCCATCTCCAGTGAAGTTCCAGGGCAGGTCCCCGGCCCCACACAAGTCAGAGTGGGGGAGGCCAGGAGCCAGGGGGATGGGATGCCACATCCCTCACCCCGGCACATGCAGTGGCTTATAGCTCACAAATGCTTTTGAAGCCATTTTCTTCCGTGAGCTCAGCAGCAGGTGAAATAGGCAAGCCCTGCCCCATCTGACAGTAAGGCAGGCGAGGCTCAGAGAAGCCAAGTGGTTGGGCCAGGGTGGCACAGCAGAGCCAACCCAGCACTGCAGCCTTCTGTCTTCAGCCCATTCTGTACTCTCAGCTCAGTAGAAAGACCTGCCCTCTTCCATGGCTTGGAAAATGACCATAGGATGGAGCCTCGGCCAGAGGCAGAGGGAGCCATCGCCAAGGGTCGGGCAGAGCACAGGCAGCCTGGAGCTGGTCCTCAGAGACAAGTGTTGGTACCAGGACCCTGGAGACGCCGAACTTGAGACTGTCAGCTCCTGGGGCATGCCAGTGACTGCAGTGTCCCTAGGGTGAAAGTCACTGGCCTGGGCTCTCCACTGCTGCTCCTGTTTGGGTTCCAACCTTCCCAAGGCTCCTATGCCGGGGGGGCTGGGGGTGGGAGGGGTCCCTGCCTGGCACACAGTCCTGCCTGGGCCCATCAGACCCAGTCCCTTGGGACTCCAGAAGCCAGCCACAGGGTGTAGAGGAGTCCTGGGCTCTGCAGTTTGAATTCTGACCAGTTGAGTAACCTTGAACTAGTTCCACATGCCTCAGTTTTCTCAGCTGTACATTGGGAATAGTGGCAGCACACAGTGGTTTATAGGAATTAAATGCAACGACCAACAGAGAGCTGTAGTTCAAGGCCTGGTGCCTAACTCTGTAAGTTCCCGATACCTTCCTCAGGAATACTGCCACGTTCAAGTGAGGCAGGGCCAGGCTGGGTGCCTCACCAGCGGATAGCCTCATCATAGCTCTCTCTCCCTTAGTCTCTCATGAAGGCCATCCATTCACTCATGTCCTCATTCATTCATCTGCAAATATTAGCCGAGAGTCCACCTGTGCCCAGCTTTGCACAAAACATGGCAAGCACCATCGCATGTGAGGGACGAACCCTGCCCTCATGGCTCGGGGTGGCTCATGGAGAAGACCTCCCATTAAGCACAAGGAAAAATGCAACTCCTGTGTTCAGGGATTGTGAGACCCCGATGAGTGGTCTCACATCTCCCTGAGCCTCAACGGGAGGCCAGGACACAATGAGACACAATGATTGCAGGCACCACCCTGTGGCTAGGCAACCAGGGGGACTCCTGAGGAGGTCACCCCTCATCTCACCTAAGACCTGACACCCAAAAGATGGAGGGAACCAACCAGGCAAAGCAAAAGTGGGAGGCCATGACTCCTGTCCCAGAGCTGAGGCTCTTGTTGGTGCTGAGTCTGAAGGACCAGGCCCTGGCGGGCACAGAGTCCCCCAGTCAGAAAGGATTGCACATACATGTGTGTGTATGTGTGTTCACGTGTGCAGCCTTGGGCATGGGGCTTGGCAGCAAGGTAGATTAGCCTGCATGTGGCAAGATCGCCTCTTGAGTATCTGTCTTCTATCTAGAAAAGCAGGCATTATGGCTGTGTCCACCTTCAGGGTTCCCTGCAATCATGAAGCTGGATTGTGCTGGCAGAGAGCCGGAAACAGAACACTTGTGCTGCCCAGGCACTGCCATGATGGCTGGGGATACAGCAGTGAACACAGCAGGCTAGATCTTTGCCCGGGGGGACTGCTGTGTAGTCATGGCGCAATGGAGAGGTGGCGAGAGACAAGCTTATAAGGACATGAGTGCTGGAAAAGAGTGCATGGGTCCCATGGGTGGAGTGGACGCGAGCAGAGGAGGCTTGGGGTCAGGAATGCCAGAGCCCAGGATCTCTGTAGAGGGCTCAGTGAGTCAGTCTCCTAGGGAGATTGCATTTGGGTGGATTCCTGGAGGAAGTGAATGAGCCGGCACGTGGGACCTGTGAAGGGGCTCCCGGAGAGGCCGGGAGCCTCAGTGGGTGGGAGCTGGAAATTGTGTTAGCCCTGGAAGCTTTCTTGAGCTTTCTTCTTTTCTTAAAAAAAAAAAAAAAAGATTTATTTATTTATTTGATTTACTCAATTGAAAACCGAAGAGAGAGATTTTTCATCCACTGATTTTTTTTTCCCTTAAATGGCCACAGTAGGTAGGGCTGAGCCAGTCTGGGAACCAGAAACTCCATTCTGATCTCCCCTTTGAAGCTGGACTGGAAGAGGAGCAGCTGGGACTTGAACCCATGCACTAGTGCAAGCTGCCAGTGAGGCAGGCAGCAGCTGGAGGCCCTGCACCACCACACTAGCCCATGAGTTGGAAACACAGCCTGGAGGAGCGGGGAGCCAAAGCTGTGCTCCCTCCAGGCCATCAGGCGCTGTGCTCCGTCCATGCCATCGGGCGGCTACTGGGAGCCTGAGGACAGGTGCACCTGGGAACTGGGAAACTTCAGATCGTAGATCATGATACTGTGTCCCTTCAGTGTGCACCAGTGGTGCGTACATCTGTGGCATCCTTCTGACACGTGTAGCTGAGGTCTGGGGTCATGACCCACAAGGAACACATTCCCACTTCTGTGTCAGTGTGAATTTTTAAAAAATGATTTATTTTATTTTATTGGAAAGTCCGATATACAGAGTGCAGGAGAGGCAGAGAGGAAGATCTTCTGTTCACTGATTCATTCCCCAAACGGCCATAACGGCTGGAGCTGAGCCAATTCAAAGCCAGGACCAGGAACTTCTTCCAGGTCTCTCATGTGGGCACAGGGTCCCAAGGCATTGGCCATCCTCCACTGCTTTCCCAGGCCAAAGGCAGGGAGCTGGATGGGAAGTGGGGCCGCTGGGACATGAACCAGCACCCATATGGGATCCCAGCATGTGCAAGGTGAGGACTTTAGCTGCTAGGTTACTGCACCAGGCCCATTAGTGTGAAGTCGCATGTGCCACACAGCCTGCGACTTGGATTTGGAACATCACATAAGGGAGTAGGCCTGAGTTCCTTCCTCTGAAACTGTCACTGTTTCCACTGCAGTCACTTTCTCCTTTGCTCTGTCCTCAGGAGTTGATGGTCCCAGTCCTCTTCTTGGGGCATAACTGGGACAAGCAGACTAAGGACAGAACACGGATGGTGGTTGTTGGCGGACATGACTGAGTCCCAAGCACCATAGACCCCCACGGAAGCATCCAGAGACAGCCCCTCCTTCTGTTTGGCCTCAGTTTTCCCACTTCCACCATGGGACAAGAAGGATGAGGAGGGACCCTGTTGGTGGATTCCCACGTGGGTGGTGGGGTGGGGGTGCTGCCAGGTGATAGAGATGGAGTTTGTGTCCTGCCTGTCCCCCAGCTGGCTGGACTAACTTTACCATTGGCAAATGAAGGAGAGCATGGTCCCTGCTGCACAGGGCTGTTGGTGGGAGGTGGAACCCCTGGGTGTGGACGAACTTTGGGATCCGTTAATCTCCGAACGAGGAGTTCTTGTCACCATCACAGTAGAGCTGGAACACTGTGTGGACCCCATGCCGAGTGGGGAGGCTGCAGGGGAGGGAGCGGCCAACCTCCTGAAGGGATGAAGACAATTGTACGGGTGCTGCTGCCCGCTGGGCATGCTGCCCCAGGCCCTCCAGGCTGCAGCCCAAGCAGCACTCCACGGAGCGCACCACAGAGTGCCCAGCCTGAGACATGAGGTCTTGTGCCCGTGCTTCCCCGAAGCCCCAGGCTGTCTAGTTTCAAGTCAGCTCCTCTGCTGAAGACCCTCAGAACAGGGATGTTCGAGCTCCTGAGTCAGCAACACGGAGGAGTTCAGGACTTTCCTGCCAAGCCGGGCAGCACCAAGCTGTTGGCCTGAGTGAGGGCATCCTGCTTACAAAGAATGGGGCACAGCTTGAGGGGACATGGCACCTCATCAGCTCACCAGCAAGATAGGGTACCGGCAGCTCCAAACCCCCAGGCCTCCGAGGGAAATGGGGTCTGCATACAAAACCTTGCCCTGAGCTCCGCAGCAGGTGGGAGCACCAAGGAGACTACCCATCATGCCCCAGCCCCTCGCGGGGGGTCCTGGGTGCTCACTGCCCCCTGAGTCAGGACCTGCTTGTCTTCATCTGCTGTAGGTAGGGCACGGGGGCTGCAAGTGCTAAGGGAGAGGCTGGGCAGGGCCCGAGGGTGAGTAGAGAACAGAGCTGGGCGCATGGCTCTGCAGCCAGCCCACCCGGTGGGCTGTTCTGTTCGCTGTGCTCTGTTCTCACCTGGTGCCCCGCAGTCACTTTGCTGTCTGCACAACTGGGTCTGTCCTACAGATGCATTGATGTTCACCTGCTATTCCTGAGCCCAAAATGCACCTGAATATTTCTGGAAACCGCATTTGGCATAACTTTGACATGAGCAAAGGGAGGCTGCTTTACAGTCTCTGTGTACCCATCTCCATGTGGAATCAGGCATCTCTGCAGACACCAACATGGGTTTAACACAAGGGCTTTTGAAATGCAGGTGACAGCTCAGGGCCACCAGGGCCATGGCGCAGCTACAGCCCTTTGCCTGGGGCTCAGAGCCATAAGGTCGTTGTGGCAGGGCCTCGGCTTTTCCAGAGCCGTCTGCATGTTGAACTTCATTTGAAAAGCAGAACAAGGAGAACACTTCGTAAATATTGGCTCTAAGAAAATACTCAATACGCTCAGAGCAAATAAATCTCATCTGTGGCTGATGCGACTCCAGTGTCCACTGTGCAGACACCCAGGCGAGGCCTGACCTGAGTGTCGTGGGCAGGTAGTGGCCAGGGCACCCAGCGCTGCCCCTCCAACCCTCATTAAGTGCGTCTCAGAATAGACACGATAAAAAAAAAAAAATGACCGCTTATTTGCCAAGGCTGGGACAAATGGTCCAGGGGGCAGCTCGGGGAGGGAGCTGAAGCCTCCCTATGCTGACCCCTGTTTTTGCCTTGAGTCTTGCCCATGCTTGCCCAGTCCAAGCCCTACACTGAGTTGGAGGCGGTGGAAGGCGCCTCCTTCCCTGTCTGCAGCTGCTCGGGACACAGTTTACAATGGTGGGTAAGTGCATGGTCAAAGGCCACAAGGGCTCCAGGCTTCCACGTGAAGGTTCCATGGTATCGAGACCTGGGCCTTGAGGATTCTAGAAAAGATGGGGAGGAGTCAGACGCAGCCCCAGAGGGGAAAGGAGCCCTGAGCGTGGGTAGCAGAATTCCGGAGGGGAAGGAGGGTGTTGGTCCCAGCTGCATGGAAAGGAGCTAAAGGGACGAAAAGAGGTTGTGGACAATCCAAATCTGAGTGTGCCCTGCGACTGGTGGAGAAAGTCAGCCAAGACCTTGGTCCCATGCCTACCCACTGGGGTCATAGATTGCCCGCCGCTCCGCCGCCCCGCCGCCCCAGGGCTGCAGTGGAATCTGCCAGGTCACTGACTTGCTGCCTTCTCACAGTTCCAAGAAGACAGGGCAGAACCAGGGTTTGTCCCTGGGATCTGGGAGTTTTGTGCTTGGGACATGCAGGGACCACTAAGACGGGGCAGATCCTCGCAGCGCAGCAGGCTCAGAGTCCCAGTCCCAGCCTTCAACAGCAGCTTGGGCAACTTGCTGAGCCTCTCCCGGTTTGCTCATCTGTGACATGGCGACCAAAAAATGAAGTACAGCATCCGTTCCTCCTTAGCGGCAGTTTTGCTTCCCAAGGTTGTTCATCTGCGGCTAGTTACCCTGGGAGGTGGCAAATAGGAAATTTCAGAATAGTTTTTAGCTGTGTGCCGTTCTGAGTAGCATGATGAGATCTTAGGCTATATCCCTCAGTGCTGCCCGGGACTTGAAGCATCGTTGGCCAGCATATCCTGGCTTGGACCTATCCCAGCATCTGTGAGAATGGCTCAGCAGCCTTGTAGGTGGCCAGGGCAGCTGTTGTAGTAGTGCAGAGCTTGGGTTCAAGTCGCCCTTGCTTTCCATTACTACCAGATCCAGAATGCATAAGAGGTGGTGGGGATGAGACGGCAGTGACATAAACACTGAGTATGGTGAGCTCCAGCACCAGGTGGCACTGCCTCAACGTACTCAACAAGGCCCACAGCTTCAGGTCCCCGGGGGTTCCTGGCTGCAGTAACTGCTGAGCTGCCTCCATCACACGCTGCTGAAGGCTGGGAGAGTTCATGTGTGGCTTGGCCAGGAAGAGGGGCAAAGTGCTGGCACTGTGACATCGGCACGTTTTCCTGCTGGAATGCCACTTGGTTTTCCAACCTGCCCTTTGCTGAGAATGTTCTCCAAGCTGCAGCAGCAGCAGCAGCAGGGCCGAGTGGCTCTCTGTGCGATCTGTAGGTGTGGCTGGCCCCCAGGGCCACCAGGGTCAGGCGGCACTTTGGGGTCAGGATCTCTATCATGTTCCTGCCTGTGTTTCAGGACTTGGCACACTAAGTGAAACTCGGGGGAGCAGAGGGAATGGGTTTTGAAGTCAGTCTCAGGGCCTCTGCCACTCACTAGGCGGGCCGCCCTGGACAGGACAGATATGGGCTACTGACACCTGCCCTGGGGGCTATGGAAGAGATGCAGATATGTGTGAGGCCCGTCCCTGAGCGCCAGCTGTGGCTCATAACAAATGCTGACTCCTGGGGCTTCGGGGAGGCAGAGCTTCGGGGATGCTGGGCCTCAGGGCTTCCCAGACGGGGAACCCCCCAGCCACATTCACCCTGGGGTCCAGTAACGCCAGCTCTGAGAGTACAAGGGCCCTGCGCTAAGTCCTATACCCACATGGCTTCATTTCATCATCACTATGCTCATCCCCATGCCACGGATGAGGAAACCGGGACACCACGGGGCTCCGAGACTTGCTCCCCAGGGCCCCACAGGCAGGAAGTGGCAGAGCCAGTGCTCAGGCCTAGAGCAGCAGCAAGTCATCAGCCCCTCGTGTGTGTGGACAGCAGCGAAGTGCAGATGCTTGGGGCCCGAGCTACCTCAGCCTTAGGACTTAGCCTAAGGAATGACTTTCAAAAGGTGGGCTTGCCCAGGAAGTGGAACCAGAAAGAGGTGGGAGCCAGGAGTCAGGGGCTCTCCTTCCTGTTCTCTGGGTTGGATGGCTCCTCCCCTGCCCCAGGCCGGAGCCTCGGCCACTGCCCTTGGCTCAACACGTCTTGTCTGTGTGAATCACTTTCCCTCCAAGGTCTCTGACTCCCAGGGTGGCTAAGAAGGGCTGGCAGAAAGACGGGAAGCTTTGTCATAGGGCTGGATGTTGTTTGGCACAGGCACATGTCCCTAACTTGGGAATGGATCTTTTTTTTTTTTTTATTGGAAAGGCGGATATACAGAGATGAGAGACAGAGAGGAAGATCTTCCGTCCGATGATTCACTCCCCAAGTGAGCACAACGGCCGATGCTATGCCGATCCGAAGCCAGGAGCCTCTTCCGGGTCTCCCACATGGGTGCAGGGTCCCAAAGCTTTGGGCCGTCCTTGACTGCTTTCCCGGGCCACAGGCAGGGAGCTGGAAGGGAAGCGGGGCTGCCGGGATAGAACCAGCGCCCATATGGGATCGCGGGCGTGCAAGGCGAGGACCTTAACCACTTGCGCCATCGCGCCGGGCCCAGAATGGATTTTTTTTAAACACCTACTTTTTCACATCCAATGGCAGTTTCCCTAAGCTGCCTATGATGTGAAGTGCTCTGCTCTCCCTGACCCAGCCTTGGTCCCAAGTGACAGACAGGTGGAAATCCAAAGAGCAGTTCTGCAGTTGACAAAGCTGGCCCAGCACACACAGCTGGTCCCCACCCAGACTGGGCAGCAGCGGGAGCCACATGCACTGGCCACTCTGGCCCCCCGTTCCACCATCAGAGACAAATCCCTACAAACCCACGATCACGGCATTTGTTCTCTTGGCTCGCTTGCCACCTGGTGCAGCAGACGGCCTGAGTCCTTCCATTGCAGGACAGCCTGAGAGTCCTTCCTGGAGCTTGACCTCCTCCAGAAACTGGGAGCCATCAACTGCCACGGGAGTCCTAGAAAGTAGCAAACAGGTCCCCAAGCATTGTTTGTGTGGAAAGTCTGCCTTCCATTAAAAAAAAAAAAAAGCTGGCTGCATCACTGCTACTGTGTGGGTCTTAGCATGTACATAGCACTCCGAGAATCATGACCTGGAGGAAAATCCACTGCAATGCACGCTCGCTTTACAAAAAGAAAAAAGAGAAAGACGTAATGGTTGCAAGTACTCACTTAGTTTCTTGATCCGTTAGGCATTCCCCTTGGGCCCTGCGATCACTGAGCGGGGTGAGCTGTGCGTGGGTGTGCGCTAGCAAAGGCAGCCTTCGCCTCCTGATCCACTCTCTCTCCTTTCTACAGACACCTACTGCTTCGGACAGTCCAGCTGGAAGAATCCAGGTAAGGAAGGGCCATGCAGAGGGAGTTCAGGAACAAGGGACTGGAGGGAAGCTGCCCACCAAAGCTGTCACTGCCAGTGAGGTGACCTGCCCTCCCAGAGACAGCCACATGCAGACATAATGCACCTGCCCCTCTGAGGTGCCCGTGGCAGGTGGATGCCTGAGATGGCCGTGACACACCACCTGCAGGCTGGTTCTCAGGGTCTTTACCAGGTGCCTCTCACCAGGCACACACAACAGAGTCCTGTTTCCTCTTAGTCTCACCAAACACTCCAGGGTCAAGGTCATTCGCGGCTGGGGAGTAAGGCTGTGTCTTGGTTCTACAGTGTGTTGAACCTCTAGCAGGCAAGGCTAAATTGTAATCCTGGGCCAGCATTTCCCAAGCAGGGTTCTGTGCGCCCTCACTGAAGGGTGACAATGTTCACTGGCCTAGTTAAAACCCTGAGAAGTCCTGCTGCAAAGAAACCCGCTCAGCCTCTTTAAACGCAGCGACTCCCACACTCGAAACCTCGTGATCTCTTTCTCATGTGTTAGCTGGGATAAAGCCACACCGGCAGTAATTTTGAGAGAAACGAGGCTGGAGGCTCTCAAGAAGTCACTCAGCATCCATCAGGAGGCCCATGGGCCTCAGCAGGCACACGGCTGATGTCCAGGCTCTGAGCTCCGCAGACGGCTGACGCTCTCAGAGCCCTGGTCTACCCACCCGTAGCATGAAGGCCAAGTCTGTCGCCTGGTGAGGAGTCATGCGGGAAGTCTGCTAGCTGGGCAGGAATCAGTGACATGAGCATCCAAGCAGCCTGTGGCCCTGGCAGGCCTTATCCCACACAGGGCGCCAAGTGGTGGCACTGCAGGAAGGACAAAGCAGCCCGCCCAACTGGTGATTCGCAGAGAAGAGAGCCTCCACTTCAGAATTCCCTGGAGCTGCCTTGCTCTGATATGTGCAGAGGGGGTCTCCTCCATCCCTGTTTTCCCAATCTCTTCCCCATCCCTGAGAGCTCTAGGGAGTGGCCATATTTATTTCTCCCTTGCACATCCTTCCAGAAGCTCTTTGTGCAAATACAAATAGAGATACACTCAGCCATCTTTACCCATGTGAGTCTTTTAGCCTGGCAGCTAGCCAGTGGACTTTTAGCCTAGTAGGTAAGCTGCTGGTTGGTTCACCCACTTCCTGATTCAGAGTGCCTGGGTTTGAGTCCTGGCTCTGCCTGATTCTACCTTCCTGCTGGTGCAGACCTTGGATGGCAGGGCGGGGGGATCTCGGGTGACAGATCAAGAGGCTGGGCCCTGCCACCCACATGAAAGATCCTCTTACTAGCAGCTTTGGCCTGGCCCAGCTCTGGCTACTGTCTGCATCTGGGGAATGAATCAGTTCTGAAGCTCCCTATTGATCTGTATATATTTCTCTCTCAAAAATGAAGGAAGGAAGGGAGGAAGAAAAGGAAGGAAGGAAAGGAGGAAGGGAGGAAGATGCTGTGGCATGGTAAGTTAAGCCTCTGCCCACAGCACCAGCACCCCATATGGGAGATCTCTTATGTCCCTCTAACTCTGCCTTTTAAATAAAATTTCAATTAAAAAGCAACTATAGTTATGCTTATGATAGTATCTTTACAAATATGTATATACATTTAAAAAATAGATGAATTTATTTGAATGGCAGAGTTGTAGAGAGAGAAGGAAGGGGAGAGAGAGGGAGAAAAAGAATCCCGTGCTGGTTCACTCCCCAAATGGCCACAGCTGCTGAAGTCAGGCCAAGATGAAGCCAACAGCTGGGAACCCACCTGAATCTCCCATGTGAGTGGCAGAGCCCTAAATACTTGGGGAGTCTTCTGCAGCTTCACCGGGCACATTAGTAGGGAGCTGGGTCGGTCAGAGGTGGAACAGTCAGGACCCGAACACATGCACACACAAACACACCACACACAGCCACACACATGCTCATAGGGGATGCTGGCCGCAATGTCAGCCCGGATGTGCAGCCTTTTTTTTCTTGTCATTTTTCCTTGAACAACAAACAAACAAAAAACTATTGACACCCTTTACCTTGCATTAGGTATTATAAGCAATTTGGAGATGACTCAGTAAATGGGAAAATTGCGCAGGTTCCATACAACTACTCCACTGCTCTCTCGATGGGGAACTTGAGCATTGCAGATGCTGGAGCCTTTGTACAGCCCCTGGGACCAGTCCACTGTAGATACCAAGGAACAAGTGTGTGTGTGTGTGTGTGTGTGTGTGTGTGTGTGTGTGTGTGTGTGTGTACACATGTAGGTGCATGCATGTACACGCATGGCTACAGGTGCACAGATACATCCATGTATGTGTACATATGTCCAGTGCACATCTGTGCGTGTGTGGATATTGTGTGGATATGTGCACATGTGTGTGCTTGTGAGTGTGTGTGTTCTCTCGAGCTTTAGGAAATTATATGACCCACATATCTAGTTCTCACCCAGCAATTTCACTCTTAATATTTTCCCAAGGGAAAAAAAAAAAAGACTAGTAGGAAGGGACTCCAAAAATGCATGGAAAATGCACATTATCTTTTATCCTATTTTTCATTACCTTTTAAAAACAAAGGTTATTTCTTTATTTGAAAGGCAGGGTTACAGAGAAAGAGAGACAGAGAGATCTACCATCTACTGTTCACTCCTTAAATGGCCCACACAGTCGAGGCTGGGCTAGGCTGAAGCCAGGAGCCAGGGGTTTCACCTGGGTCTCCCACATGGCTGCACCAGCCCAGGCACCCAGGTCATTTTCTGCAGCTATCCCAGGCACACCAGCAGGGAGCTGGAGCGGAGGCAGAGTAGCTGGGGTGCAAACTGGTGCTCATATGGGATGCCAGCACCACAGACGGTCACTTAACTCACTGTGCTGTAGAACCAGCCTTCGTCCGTTACCTTGTGCCAAATTCGTTCACAGCTTTATCCATGATAGGCAAACCCCGGAAACAATCCCATAGTAAAATGTTACTCTACAATGAGAAGGAATGAGAGGCAGGTATTGGGCATTATTCATAAACTCTATCTCTGTAAAAATAATTTGAATGTGTTTGGAATATTCAGGAACGGAATGATTCTGCCAGGCAGTGGGTACTTTGGCTCGAAGTGCCCTCCCTCATGGTTGTGAAATTGGATCCACTTGAGGTCACCAAATGGCCTCAGGCAGTTAAGGGAATACTAGCTCAGGCAGCTAAGCGTGCAACCCTGGAAGCCCCGGCAAGCATGTGGAGTGGGGGCAGGGCGGTGCTCCTTGGTCTGACCACCCTCTCCATCTCTGTGACCCCGCAGGAATCTCAGTGAACCTCACCGGCTCCCCGTCGCCATGCCAGGGCCAGCTGCAAGTCCACTTCGAGGGCTCATGGTACGCCGTGTGCAGCCAGAGCTGGGGCAAAGGCCCAGATGGCTGGAGGGATCACTGGCAGTTGCAGAGCATCTGTCAACAGCTGCACTGTGGGAATGCCCTGGCTGCTGGCTACTTCCCTGCCTTCCACAGAGTACAGAATCATATCCTCTGCCACGGACCCCTGTGGTCCTTTGACAACTGCACCAACACCTGGCCCAGGTCATGCTCCCCGCTGGGTCTGGTCTGTATAGGTGAGTAAGCCCTCGGCTTGGGCATTGGCTCAGGAGGAGGATACCCAGGGCCTGAGCGGGCAGGTGGATGGGAAGGACACCTCTCAGTTATGATCACTCACCAACCCCCAACACACACCAGGTAATCAATGGGTGGGGGGAGGACAGGAAGGGGAAGGGCACGGGGCAACCAGCACCTCTCTGGCAAGATGAAAAAGCAGGCCCAGACTCTGCTGATTGCTGAGGGTCAAAATCCCCTCCAGGCCCCACTTTTCCCGTCTGTAAAGGAGGGTGGCACTGTCCCCTCATAGGAGGCCCAAACATCATCATGCGTGGCTCAAGTGGGCTTACACAGCAGGTGGCATTATTGCCACAAGCTCCTGGTCCTTCTCCCCACCACCAATGCCTTTCCTCCTCCTCCCTTCCCACCGGACTGTCTCACTGCAGAACCCAAGAAAATGACCCCTCGGCCCACAAGTCCCCCACCGACAACCACGCCACAACCCACAGGTAAGAAGGTTTTTAAAGACCTTCTTGGGTGTTTGCGGGGAGGTGGTGCTAGGGGCAGAGTGAATACCTAAGACACCCCTACCCCAGGGGGTACAGTTATGTCTGAAGCTCAGGCACACAGGTAACTCAATGAAAGTATGCAGTGTGCCACAGCTGTGCCCTCACCCCTCCCAGCACTCTCACCATGGAGTCTGACCTCTGTCTCTTCTCCTAGCTCCCCCCAGGCTGCGGCTGGTACCGGGGTCCCAGGGCCTGCGCTGTGCCGGAGTGGTGGAGTTCTACAGGGGCAGTCTGGGGGGCACCATCAGCGCTGAGACACAGGACAAAGCCAAGAACTTGGGAACACTCGTCTGTAGCACCCTGCAGTGCGGTGCCCTGAAGGAAGTGATTCAGGCAGAGGCAAAGGGTGCACAGGATGCGGGAGAACCAGGGGGACTCAGGCCTTTGCCAATCAGGTGGGCCATCCAGAACACGAACTGCACCTCCCTGGAGCAGTGCTTCCGGAGAATCCAGCCCTGGGACAGCCACCAGGCTCTTGCTGTTGTCTGCTCTGGTAAGTAAGGGCCGGCCGAGCAGCTTCCCTGGGCTTCAGCTTCCCTGGGAGGGCGTGCGGTCTGAGCAGGGTTTTCCGGGATATGACTGGGGTGCCTTGGGGTATCTCTGCCCATCAACTCTGCCCATGCCCGAAAGAATCACAGAGGTACAACGAAAGAGTGAAGCGGAGATGGGGCTTGCACAAGGAGTGTGTAGTAAGTTCAGGGAGGGGAGGCGGCTGCCGGTGCCCAGTGACAGTACAGCAGGCAAGCAGTGAAGACGGAATCGCTCCCCCTTCCTAGGGTCCTGAGCCCAGAGGGTTGCTGTGGCTGAGGGGAGGAGACGCAGGCTGCCCCAAGGTCAAAGGATGGAGCTGCAGGAAGACAGGTGGCAGCAGACCCCTAGGGGGGTTTTGGGAGGGTCACCTGGATGTGCTCTGAGAGCCATGCGGTTCCCAGGGAACACTGTGGCACATTCCTCAGTGCTCACAAGGCCCTCAGGAGGTGGTTTCCTAGTGTTGTGACATGGAAGTGGAGGTGAAATGCCCTGCCCAGCCGGGGTCACAGAGCATTGTGTAACCATCACCACTCTGAGTGTTATCTAGGCCTTGGCTGCTCCTAGTGTGTCCCCCCGTGGGCAGGTGCATTGCCTGGGAGCTGGTTAGAAACACTGATTCTGGAGTCCCCAGGCCCACCGAATCAGAGCCTGCATTCCAGCAGGGTCGCAGTGAGTCCTCTGCCCAAGACTCCCAGTCCCTTGGCTTCCTGCAGACAGGGCCACCCTACCCCTGCCACTGCCGAGCAGCTGGTGTGGATCCACAAAGCACAGCCCCGCTACCCCAGGCAGAAGCAGCCTCCAGCGTCCCTTGGCCCCACCTGCCTGACAGCTAGGAGTCTTCTTGACTGTGACAACCTGCCAGACTATGCCCAGGGGGTCTAGCTTCTGAAGTTTCTTCTAAAGAAAGGATATACTAGGGCTTTGAAGGTCGAGGTTGCTATGGAAACCGGACAAAGCTGGTGAGATCACGGAGCAGAACCAACCTCAGCGGAGGGCTTCTGGGCCCCACCCTGATGAGCAGAAATGAACAAGTTTCATTTCTCTCCCAGGCCCCACTGGCTGAAAGCATAACCCTCAGGGCACAGGGCCTGGGTTCTGTTCCACCTGTGAGCCTCCATCCAGGCCTTTGAACATCTACCCCATCTCCCTCCCAATCTCTCCCTCTCCTGAGAACCTGTCCTGATTCCCAAGGAGCAGCAAGACAAGCAGAGGATGCTTCTAAGAGCAAAGGGACACAGGTGAGGTTGGTGTCCCACACTCTTCCTGCCACCTGACACAGGGCTGCCAGCAGGCACTGCCACCTTGCCAGCTTCTCTACTCGATGTACCTGTGTCACCACAACTCAGCATATGCCAAGAAGCATCAGGGACAGAGTTTGGTTAGGAGAAATGCCAGAGAGGATGCTAGAAGGAAGGGAAGGCAGAAAGAAAGGAAGTGGCCCAGGCAGCAGGGGCCAGGGCCTGCAGACTGGGGTCAAGCGTTCACTGCGTCTCCCATTGCATCTTCCCAGGTTTCCAGCCCAAGGTGCAGAGCCGCCTGGTGGGTGGCAGCGGCACATGTGAGGGTATCGTGGAGGTGCGCCAGCACACGCAGTGGGCAGCCCTGTGCCACAATGCCCCAGCCAAGGGTGTGGCGCGATGGGAGGAGCTGTGCCAGGAGCAGCAGTGCGGCAGAGTCAGCTCCTACCACTTGCTGGATACCGGCAGGAAGACTGCCACAGGGTTCTTCTGTGACCGGGAGAAGCTGTCCCAGTGCCACGAGCTGCAGGAGAAAAAAAGTAACTGCAGGAGAGTGTTTGTCACATGTGAGTTGCCCACAGCAAGGGCGGGTGAGGTGAGGGACGCTTCCTCTGGGACATGACCAGTGGGCACGTGCTAGAGGACAGGAGGACAGAGACCCCCAGGGCCAGGGGAGGGTAGAGAGGGGGCTCATCAGGGAATGGGGAGCAGGAGGCCGGGGCTGTGAACATGAGTGGTACAGAGATGCCGGGCAAAGGCTCAGGTAGAGCACAGCTAGGGAAGGGCACAAGGATGCCTCAGTCTGTGCTCTTCCCAGATGGGGGCCAGAAGGCCGAGGGCAGGGAGTGCATACAAGTGGATGGATGGATGGAAGGAAGGATGGCTATTGATACACCAGAGTGCTTCAAAAATCTGTGGAGGTTAGGCAATAAAAAGAGAAGTTTATTCTGATGTAAATAATTTCAAAATCTATGCAGTTTTTCCATAACATGAGCTTTTAATAAGTTTCCTTCATTCTTTATTTGAACTCCTCTGCTGGTTCCCTCTCCACATGCCTGCACATCTGAGGCTGGGCTGGAGCTGGGAACCAAGAGCTCAACCCCGATGTCCCATGTAGATGGCAGAAGTCGCCCTGCTTGGGCATCACAGCCACTGCCCAGGGTCTGCGTGACTGAGCAGGAAGCTGAAGTCAGGAGCCAGAGCTGGAGCACCAACTCAGGGACTCTGATAAGGGACATGGGCATCTTGAATGCAAAGCTGCACCCGTGCCCACTGACCATGTCCGCCCCAGCCAGGCACTGTGGGAATGTTTTCAAGGTTCTTTGTATGCTGGTCTAAGACCGAAAGGTGATCACTTGAAACTAGCCAATGTAAGAAAGCTAAATGGTGGATAATAGAGGCAAGTGACCTCTAGGGGTGGACTGTGGATGGTCAACAGTGGGGGCAAGGATCGAGGGAAGGAGGGTGGAGATGTCCAGAGATGGCTGGAGAGGTGGTCAGTGGAGTAGCGGCCCTCCACTCAGGCTGGAGACCTTCTGAGGAGAGAATTGACTGTGGGAAGCCAGTGGCAGCCCTGAGGGTCCCTGAGCAGGCAGCTTTCATACCCCCAATGCTCCGACTGACCTACGTTCTGCTCCTTCCCCAGGCCAGGATCCAAACCCCGCAGGCCCAGCCGCAGGCACAGTGGCAAGCATCATACTGGCCCTGGTGCTTCTGGCAGTGTTGCTGGTGGTGTGCGGCCCTCACGCCTACAGGAAGCTGGTGAAGAAACGTAGGTGTCAGTGCCTGGGGCACCTCCTTCCTCACCACCCAGCACAACCCTCGCTCCCCGCCCACAGTAACAGAACCAGGAAGCCAGGGAAATCTTTATCTCTGATTGAACCACATCCATCAGACAGGGGCAGACGGAGACAGGTAACAGTGGCCTGGGGCCAAGGCTGAGCCCCTACCAGCGATGCTGACTGAGCCACTCTCCCTGTCTTTGAGTACCAGCTTCCCGATGGACCACAGGGGCACTCACACCCCTTGTGGCCACAGCGGGTCGTGTCCTGGCCTTGTTCATTGCTGGTCTGTGGTGTGTGTGTGGGGGGGAGTCCCTGCATACTGGGTGGCACCAGTCCCCCTCCCAAGGTTCCCCACCCCTGGCACTTCACAGAGCTGGACCCTAGGGGCCCTGCCTTCAGCAGCACCTGCCAGCCCCGTCCTCCCTCCTAGCCCGGGGGTCCCCTCTCCTGCCCCCATCCTGACCTGCTTTTCTATTTGTTGCTCAGTCCGCCAGAAGAAGCAGCGCCAGTGGATTGGCCCCACGGAAATGAACCAGAACAGTGAGTGTCCCAGAAGCAAGCCTTGGAGGCTGCCTCTGGTTCCAGCCTCGCTCCTCCGGGGGCTGACTGCGGCCAGCAGATGTCTCTGCACTGTGCAGGCTGAGGCTTCTGCACAGGATGGAGAGCTGAGTGGGTTTTGCCTCTGGAGCCTCAGAGACCGTGGGTCCCCTTTGTGAGATCCCAGGGGCAGTCACTTCTTCAGGCAGCCTTTCCAACACAGTGGCCACCATCAGTGGTTCCCAAAAGAGAACTGCAGGATGGAATCTGGGGATCCATGAGCTGAGAAAAGCTCTACACGCTTTGTATTACATCAGGCCTTTCTGGAACCCTCGTGGGCATCTCCGAGGCAGGCATGCCTTGAGAAGGGTTGCCCAGGCTGCTCTTACTGTGGAATAAGTTAGCAGAGCCAGCCCATTCCCCTCCCCCGGTCTCCACCCCTTCTCCTTCCAGCAGGGCTAGCATCACCCCTGCAAATAGAAGTAAAGACTCCCCATTCATTCCTCTCCTTCCCAAGCCCACGGTCAAAGGCTTCACGAATCTGGCAATCCAAAGGCCCTCAGTCCCCAGAGTCCGGGGAGTGTATGTGCTCAGTCACTGTGCTCAATTCCCTGGTGGACAAATGTTTGAGGACTGATGGTCCGAATGAAGGCCCCAACCTACCAACTGAAACCATGAACCTCCCCAGAAACAGAGCCAAGGGGGGAGGGTGCACTGAAGAGACTGTGGGTGCCCTTGCCCCCGTCCCCGTGACATCCTCAAGACACCCCTTGGGAAAGAGCGGGAGGATGGAGCAGCCCCACTGACGGCAGTGTCTCCCCACCTGCTCAGTGTCCTTCCACCGCAACCACACGGCCACCGTCCGCTCCCAGGCAGGAAACCCTGTGGCTTCCTCCCATGTGGACAATGAGTACAGCCAGCCCCCCAGGAACTCCCGTCTGTCTGCTTATCCAGGTAAGTGGCAGGCAGAGCTTGGGCCTGTCCTGCCCAGACTGGTCACGTGGTGTCCTTGAATGAGGCTCACGTGACTGCCCAGAGCAAGCCGGGAGGCTGCAGGGGGCAAGGGATCAAACGATCCACTTGACAGGAGGCCAGGATGGCTCCTGTGAGGATGTGAGCCATTCATCTACAGAGCAGAAGGCACTTGGAAGGGCGGGTGGGCACTGTTAACCCTGGCCACGCTGGGACCTAATGGGCCTGTTTCCTGCAGCGCCTTAAAGGGGTTGATGCTAAATGAGGCCCCTTGGAATTCTGGGAGGAGAAGAGAGCCATTAAATGGCCTGCAGGAGCCCTGGCCCGCAGGCTCCCTCGCTGGTGCTAACAAATGCGCCCCAGGGGCCTGGAGTTCAGCATCGTTAGTGAGCGCTTGGCTGATCTGATCCAAACAAACAGGGGCTGGCATCAGCTCGGAGAGCCTGTGAGCTCTCCACCCACGTGGGCATCGGCTTTTGGCTTTCAGGGGCTCTGTGTAGCCCCTGAGCCCTCTACAAACTGTCCCCTGTCTTTTCCCAGCGCTGGAGGGGGCCCTGCATCGCTCCTCTGCCCAGCCCGACAACTCCTCCGACAGCGACTACGACCTGCATGCGGTGCAGAGGTTGTAACAGGTGAGTGTGGTGGAGGCCAGAGGCCCAGCACACCAGGTCTGCCGCTGCCAAGACAAGAACTGGGAGCCCTGAGTACCTGGGTATTCACCGAGGTGATGGCACTGGTATGGTAACAGGGGAATCCTCCATCCGAGCGTCATCTCTGAAGCTCTGTCCACAAAGAGCCCTGGAGCTTTTCTCGAGACCGGCTCCCTGCATCGCTGCCACGAGCAGCAGGACAAGCAGTTGCACCCAGAAGGAGCCCAGGGCTGGGCCAGTCCCCCATGTCCCTGTCACCACCGGCAACTGAAGTCTCCTCCTCCCACAGGCTTCCTTCTCATCCCTCAGAACTGGCCACCAGGAACTGAAAACCAGGAGCTGGACCCAGCCGTCCAGACACAGCGTAGCTTCATTCCCCTGGAAGGCCCTGCTGAACTTCTACTCCAGCCGGAAGCTGGACAGAGACCAGAGTGCCCTTTGCTTCTATCCTGCTGCACGTAGGGGCAGGCCAGCTCATACCTTCCCCATAGCAGACCCTGGCCCAGGACAGGACTGTGACAGCAGGGCCAAGCCCCTCCAAGTGGGTATCCAGAATGTGGACCCTTCCTTACAGGGCACAATGAGCCTTTTCTCCTTGGACTCTGACCCTGGCGAGGAAGCTCTCATTGGGATGGGGCAGTTTCCCTGGTGCCTGTTGGGAACATTCTTTGTAAACAATGCTTTTCCTAACTTCCTGAGAACAGTAGTACTACGGCCTCTTCTGGGGATGCCCTGTGGGGAGGGTCGGCCAGCCAAGCACACAGGCAGCTTGGCACATGCATACCACCTGTCCCCGAGGGAGCAAGTGGGCAATGGGGTGACATGTGGGCCACTGAACCCAAAGCCTCACCCTAATCCCAGGTCTAAAGATTCTTTCTCCAGAGATGGACTGCTGGCTGTCTAGGGCACAGGTGTCATGCCAGGACCTGGCACAGACAGGAACCTGGTAAATCCATCCCAAGTCCATCAGTTAACTGACTGGAGAGTCAGAGAATGGGGCTGGGATGCACCTTGGGTCTGAATGATCCTAGCCACGAGGAGGAGAGCAGGAAGGTATTGAATAGAGGGAAGAGGCTGTGCTGGTGTCACTGAGCCTTTGGGCACTGGGCGGCTTGGTGGGAATGCAGTGACATGCTAGGTGGCACATTTTGGGTTTGGAGCCGTTCCCCACTCAGCCTTCTAGCTACAGGGAGCAGTCATCAGCAGTAAGAGGCAGAGTGGGGGTAGGGCCAGCGCATCAGGAGTCCGGTCAGCACTCTGGCCCCCAACCAACACCCTTCCGTCAGGCCTCAATCTCCACCCAAGGGGCCAGGTCAGTGTCACAGATCTGCCCCTGATCAGCATCAGGGCCACCCATTTACCTGCCCATACCTGGCGGGGCAAGAGGATTCCTAAATGGGAGGTGAGAGGCTCTCTGAAAGGAAGTGAGACCTCGAACATTTCCTCTGCAGGTCTTTCTTGAGAAAGGCTCTTTGATGTCTGACCACCATACAGTGACCTCAAAGCAACCATGGTCTATTTTAAAAAAACCAACCAACCAACCAAACAAACAAAAACCCACCAAAAAACATTTAGCAGGGGGAGAGAAATGTGGTATGTTTGGGTGATACATTCCAGAAGGATCAGTCCGGTCATGCAGCTCAATGGGAGCTGATTCCACCATTAAGACTTTGATGAGCTCTGGCTTTGGCTGGACCCAGCCAGAACCCCCAGTGAGGGTCTCGCTCATTGTTGATGACACACTGCTATGGCCTGGGCAACTTTAGGGGGTCTCCATTCTTGCATCCCAGCCACCTGCTACAGAACAATGCCTGCCCTCCGTCCACTCACCACATCCCTATAGTCCCCGTGTCTTCTTCCCTGTATGTTGTTACCTGGTTGGCCCTTGCAGGGGTTTGGCCATGTAACTCCTGATGCCAGCACATTCTTTTTGCCTTATGTCAAGGAAATCTGAGAACTTCAAAGCAAAAAGTTCCCCTGAACTGAAGAGTAGTTAGTTTCAATGTGGTGCACGCTGCGGTTTTGGGTATTGTAGCAGGCTAAGCTGACACTTGCAATGACTGCATCCCATGCCGGAGCACCAGTTCCAATCCCAGCTACTCCACCTCCCATCTGGCCCCTGCTAACACGCCTGGGAAGTGGCAGATGCTAACTCACACACCTGAGTTTGAGTTCCTGCCACTCACTGGGAAGCCCAGGGTTCAGGGCTCCTGGCTTCAGCCTGGCCCAGCACTGGCTGTTGCAGCCACTTAGGAAGTGAGTCAGCGGATGCAAATGTTTTGTCATTTTACCCTTCAAATAAATATTTTTTTCAAGTTGTCACGTGTCCAGGGATATCGGAGTATGAAATGAATTAATGTGGTGACTTTTCATTTGGACTTGCCCTACACAGCACTTCTGGTCTTCTCTGAGCTAGGAATCTAGCTGAGGCTCTGAACTGGACAAAGGGCCTGAACCAAGCTGCGGGCTCTGCAGGAAGAGGTGTCCTGTGGTCTGGCCAAGCATGCCCAGTGACTTCACAGGAAGCATGGGAGGGAGACCTGGGGAGCACTCGAGCCCAAGTGTGGGGGCCACCCCAGTGCGGGGGTGGGGAGGAGGCAGTGTCTGGGTGCAGACGTCATGGGACCAGCCAGAGCCACTCATGATGCCACCCCGTCCTGGGAAGCCTGCCCTCTGCCTCCTGTTGCCACCTTGGCAAAGCATTCCACTGTGCTCCCAGAGAGACAGCTGCGGCTTCTTCCCACAAAGCCGAGGGAGTGAGGCAGACCTGAGTGTAGCCGGGGCAGAGGGCAGTAAACACTGAAGCCCAGGGATTCGCCTGGGTCCTGGGGATGGACATCAGTGGCACAGAAGAACCTCTGAGATCTGGTCCTGTCTGGGTCCCTTTCTTCCAGGCCTGCCACCCTGTGCCTTCCCCCCATTTGAAACAGGGGCTGAAGGGCAACGAGAGGACCTGAGGAGATAACGGGCATGGAGGCACAGGGTGGCAAGCAGCCTCGTGGAGCAGTTCATTTGGCAGCTCTCCACAGCTCTGGGCAGTTTCTGAGAAGGAAGAGGAGGGCTGACTTGTGGAACCATTAGACACTGGGTCTGCCACTCCTTGCACTGCTGGAAGCAGAGGACACCCACCCAGGCCGTGGGATGACCAGTCCAACAGCAGAGCTCTGAAATGCTGGCCTGGGTTTTGTGGGGAAAGGGTGCAAGGTTGGGCTGCAGCATACTGGTGAGCTGTACAGCCTGTTTCATGGCCCTTGACCCTCTAGGCAGAAGCTGGGCAAGCGGGACAAACCCAGTTCAACCAGCTCAGCACAGGTCAGGAACGTGCACGTCCCCAGTGAGGCGTGGGTGCCACCTAGTGGGATCCTGTGGCATTGCAGGCTATAACTCCAGAAAAACACGGTGAAGCCAAGTCAAAGAGCCAGAGAGGAAAGAGCCAGGCCTGGCAGGGAAGGAACAGGGCACAGGATGATCTCCAGAGAGGGAACGTGTTTGGAGCAAGAACCAAAGAGGCCACAGGGCAGGGGAAACCAAGGCCCTCACCAAAGGCTATACTGTCATCTTGAAAATCCATTCTGGGAGCTGTGGCACTACATTTGACTGTTCCAAGTTTATTACGGAAATTAATGATACAAACATCCCGGTGATCGTTCGTCCAGTTCAGGAGCACTTGAACCAGCAGAGTTCATTAGTGATTTCTCTTTATAAATAACTTAGGAGAAGCAAGCACAAGTGGTGAGGAACCAGCAGGCCAACCCAGCATCACACACACCCACCCGTGGCACGCAGGCTGGGGCAGGCACCAGGAGGCGGTTGCCTCCTTGGCCCCTTGCACTCCCAGACCCGGCAGAGGTGGGCATGTCAAGGCACATACCAATAGCAGCTCCAGGGTCTGCCCTGAGACCTGGATCACAGCCAGGACAAGCACGTTAATGCTTCCCCCACCGTGCCCCCTTTGGTCTAGTGTCGTCACTGGGATTACACAACACGCACACAGCCCCAGCGTGCCGGGGCTGCACGGGACATGGGGTCCCCACCCCTGCCCTCTATGTCCTCAGGATGACAGAGGAGCAGAGGCTGACCTCGGGAGAGTGGGGGTGTTTCTGAAAGCACCGTCGGGAGGTTACTGTGAGGGCAGCTCCTGATGTCTGTCTGAGAGGGCTGGAGGGAGGATTCCACGGAGAGGGCTGGAGGGAGGAGGGGGCTGTTGGGGAGGACTGCTTTTGAGTAAGATTCAAGGCACTAAAGGAGTGGACGGATGGGTGGACCACAGAAAAAGTGAGCCAGAAGTAGAGGCTTCGGCGAAGAGAGGGGCAGCTGGGATGGCACCAGGCCCTCCAGGCCAAGATGAGCCCACCATGCATGGCCACAGCCTCCTGGCCGACAGCAGCTCCCTCCTCTCCAGCCAGAGGGAAGCAGGACAAGCAAGGGCTGGGGTCAGCCTGCACGCCCCCAGCCCCTCCCTGCAGCTCTCCTGCACGCCAAGTGCATCTGCCACCAGTCCACCGGGGTTAAATATGGCTTCGTAGGACTGAAGAAGTGCTGTTCTCCCATCTTCTCCCTCCAACTCCACTCCTGCCAAGGAGTTGCGAGTTAGGGCAGATCACCCTAGAACGGATTAGACAGACACCACGAGCGGTATCTATGGGTCGGGGCTGAAACACCCGAGGATGGGGAGGGAGTGGGGTGGGAGACCGGCGGCCACCTCATCACTGAGACACCTCTGTCCTGGGCTCAGTGTCCACAATGCATGCATACGTCCAGCCCCACAGACACCCACAGGGGTCCTGGGTGCACAGCCTGGCTAGCACCAGAAAAGCTGGAGCCAATCACACAAAGAATGGGCTCCCAGACGGGCCTGCAGCCAGAAAGCTGGCAGGGGCTGGGACTTCTGCCACTGCCAGTTGGTCACACTGCTCACTGCTGTCTGGGGGCTGCACACCCCTAGCCAGGCCCCTCCAAGGTCTCTGAGTGCCCATGCAAGTCCACAGCGAGCACGGACTCCATTTGCATTTGAACCTGGAGTCTCAGTGATGGGTCGGCCAAAGGTTATGGTACTGGTGCAAGTAGGGACAGCCAAGGGCCAGGGCTGTGTTTAATACCCAGGCCAGGCGGGCCCTGGAGGTGGTGGAAAGCCATAGGGAGGGGCGGGCCCCGGGGGATACGGGGGTCGTGGGGGCACCGAGGGCTGGGGCTGGCCTGGGAAGCCCGGAAGCTGGGGCTGCGTTGGGTAAGGTGGTTTTCCTCCTCCTGGGCGGTAGGGTGACTGTTGAGGGTAACCAGGGCTGGGGGTCGGGCCTGCTGCCAGGGGATAGCCAGGTCCTGAGGTGCCAACTGGTGCCACGGGATAGCCCGGCCGGGGCGGAATACTCCTCTGTGGGGACCAGGAGTAGCCTGCTGCTGCAGCCCTGGGTGCTGGCTGTGCTGATGGATAAGAGGGGCCCAGAGGAGGCCCATAGGAGAAGGAGGGCTGGGACACCACAGGGAAAGGGGCTGGTTGTAGGGCACCTTGGGCAGTAGGGCCCACGGGCAGGCCGGGAGAAGGGCTGTAGGGCAAAGGGTAGGGAGGCACGACTGGGACGGAGGGCAGTGGCTGCTCCTCAGCCACAGGGGGTGTGGCCTGGGGGGCCGGGCGAGGCGGGGGTGGCGGACGTGGTGGAGGGGCACTGCCGCTGGACTCCTGGGAAGCTCGGGGCTTCCTCACCACATCCTGCAGCTTCTCCACGCGCACCCGACGCAGGTGCGACAGCATCCTCATGGAGGCAAAGTTCTCCAGGAAGGTCTCCAGGGGCACCTCGCCTTCCAGGAACTTCTCAGCCATGGCCTGGAAGACACACAATCTGGTGACACTGGGGCCTGCTGGGGTGGAGGCCGTCTGCCTTTCCAGGGTCAGAGCCTTGCTGCGGCCTCGTGCCTCAGGCCCACCCAACAGCTCCCACCCCTCCGTGCATCTCCACGTGTCTGCATGTCCTCTACACGGCTAGCTTCTCGAGGTGGGTTACTACCGTCCCCCACCTCCCCCCAGCTGGGCCGCTGCACGGATGTACTGAACAGCTGATCAGATGCCAGCTCCCTGGTGACTGGTGCACACCAGCCCCTGTACTCAAGGAATGGAGAGCGGAGAGGGTGTGGCCAAGGGACAGCAGAAATCAGGCGTGGAGGAGGGGCAGGGATCCTGGCACCAGGGATGTGAGAGCTCTCTGCATGGCCCGGACACCCATTTCTGCTTCAGCCAGGGAGATCCCACATTCCTGCTGCAGCAGACCCCTGGCTCTTCAGCTGCAGCTGCCCACATTTGATCACAGTCTAAAAATACTAAATGGAAACTTCCAGAAATAAGCAGTTCATAAGTTTGAAATTACTTTCATTATAATAACTTTTTTTAGAACAATATGCTTGTGCAGTTTTGTTATTGGGTATGGCTGTTATCTCTTCCTGTGTCTAAGGGATGAGTTAGTCTTCATGAAAGGAGTGCATGAATGGGAACAAACAGTGCATACAGTCAGCACGCTCTGCAGGCTCGGGCATCCCCTGGCATCTCAGTGGGTACATGGGTAAGGGGGCTCCTGTATCTGTCTCGCCAGGCCTGCCCGAAGGCCCTGCCATCTCTAACGCGCTGTGTCCCCGGCCAGCACCCACCCGTGGACGAGGGGACAGGCTTCCCCGTCTCACCTCGGACTCCTCCTCTATCTTCATGCCCTCGATCTGCAGCAGGTCTAACAGGGTGCTTGGCTGCAGCGCTGAGGAAAATTTCTCTAGAAGGAAAGGCACAAAGGTTAACGGTTCAGAAGTGTGATCTGACTCAGGGTTGAAGTTCAAGATTTCAGGAAAGCTATCACCCTGGGTCTACTGCAGAGCCCCTTTAACCATGCCCTTTTATGTCCCCCTCCTCGGAGGAAAGGAGCCTGACCAAGCCAAGTCCAGAAACGGGCCCAGCAGCTCCCGCTCGAGCCTGGTGAAGGATGCAGGCCTCACAGCCCAGCACACTGGTGCAGTCAGGACCCTCCGCTGAGGGGAAGCCGCCCCCCTACCCTGACGTGAGTGGTCAGATGAGACAGCGCCTCCTGCCCTCACTGCCCACAGGCCCTGGAATGCAGGGAGCCCAGCTCAGCTCTGCCGGGTGCAGAGGTGGCTCCAGCCACGTGCCAGCAGCAGCAAGGGCCTTCCTTACCCAGTTTGGCCTTCTGCTCCTGGCACCGCTCCACGAGCTTCCGGAGCTCCTGGTATTTGTCTGAGAGGTTAGAGCGGCTGATCTCCAGGGGACCTTGGAACTCCAGATTCCGCTCGGCCAGGCTCCGGTTGGTGGCCAGGGCCATCTCCCGCTCCAGCTGCAGGTCCTGGACCTGAAAGAGCAGCACGGCCAACCATGAGAACCAGCACCATGTGTCACACCCACAGGCTGGAGCATTGCTCACTTTGGGGAATATGGGACGATGCCCAGCCCTGGAGCACAGACAGATGGAGCCAGACTCTTACCCTGTGCAGAGCACTATGCCCCAAATGCCCCACTTCACCCGTAACCAGGAGGGTAGACCCCAGTCGCATGCTGGGCTGCAAGGGTAACAGCCTGCCCAAGGCCACGTGCTGGACGCGGCCCAGGTCTGCAGTGCAGTGTGCAGCGCTGGGAGGGGGAGCCGGAGAGCCAGGCCTAGCGTTCATGAGGAAGTTGTGGCCTTCTGAGAGGGAAGGCACTAAAAGTCCCAACCACTAGTCCCAAGCCTCGGAGGTCAAGAGATGTTGAGGTGGGCTGAGGCGGCCCAGGTCAGATCACAGACTGGACAGGCAGTGAGGCTGGTTCTGAACACTGGTTTGGGAGCAACTCACACCTGCCTCTAGGCCACACATGTGTTCACAGAGAAGCTGCCCAGGCACCGGCAGAAGCCACTGCCTCCGTCCAGGCAGCACCTTGCCCCTCAGCCAGGCCCTCATGGCTGTTGGCCCAGGGGACCACGTGACCTGGAGCCCTGGCCATCTTTTAGAAGTTCTCTCTGCAACGAGGGCTGGAGAGCTGGGCCCAGCACCCTGAGAGCGTGGGCCAAGGTACCAACAGCATCACTGGCACTGAGAGGACCCAGCCCCTGCCACAGGGTACAAAGCGCAGCTTGGTACTGGCCTCCGGGAGGAGCCAGGGCATGTGCACTCTCTCTGCCATCAGGGTCAGCACAGGTGGAGTGACTGACCCTCTGCAGACACAGCAAGCCCACGGCTGTCCTGGGCAGACCTGCCCTCCCGCTGATCCAGGCCACGGGACCTCAGGACCTGCTCTTGGCTCTGTGGCCTGGAGAGAGGCCCTGCATAGACACAGCTGCAGGGCTCCGGGTCTGCAGGGTCCACCTGTCTGTCCGGCCCCTCAGCAGGCTGCCCCCACAACTGGGCTATCTATCTGTCTTACAGCTGCAAACAGTCTCTGGCTGCTGGACAAGCAGGCAGTTAGGGACGCAGCCCCTGGAGGGTGCAGACTTGCTGGTAGCAGCTATGGGAGCTCTGTTCCACCTGTGTGGTTGACACAGGAAGTGACACAGGGTAGGAACATTCTCTGTCTTTCCTCTAGATCTTAACCAGTTAAGTCCACACAGTATCATTTTCCTGCCACCTTGTCTTACCCGTTTTCTACCCCCTCTCCATCATCTCCTCAAATCTTTCTCCCTCTGGTGTTCACCACGAGGCCTCCCACAGTTAATACACAAAAGGGCAGGAGGACAGTTCTGGCAACTGCCTACCAACCCACCCCCAGAAGAGCAGCTCACCCACTGCCCCAGCCCTGCCCCCCAGGGGCACACTCTTGTGCCCACAGCAAATCCCAGACCAAATGAGATCCGGGCTCTTCTCCCAGGCCCTTGCATCTGTCAGAAGCCTGCTGAGCCTGAGCAGTTGCCCAGCTTTGCCTCCACCTGATCCACACTAGAGGTTCTTCCCTTGGAGAACTCACACTGACTGCCTACCACAAACGCCAGGGGCCTTTGGCCCAAGAGGCTGTTTCTGCTCACCCTCTGTGTGATTCTATGCTTCACCAAAGATTCTAGCAGTCTGTTTGACTTGGAAGTCAGCAAACGGTAACCATGTCAGCCTGGCTTCTGCCAAGTTTGGCACTCCCAGACCTAACACAATGCTCGGGAAGACTCAATGAACACTCAGCGCTGATACGGATGGAGCGTCCCTAGTCAGAAAATCCCCAACCCCACACGCTCCGAAGTCAACACCTTTGGAACACAGATGTCACGTTCATGCAGTTTTGAATTTGGGGGCTTCAGAGGTGCCTGGGACACCTGCATCCCTTGCTGGATACCTAATTTGAGTCCCAGCTACTCAACTTCTGATTCAACTCCCTTCCCTCTGGGAGGTTTAAGTGCCCACATGGTCTCTGCTTCCCATGCGACAGTTCCAACTTCTTGGTTCAGCACGCACGGCTCAGCCCCACTGCTGCGGATATTTAGGGAGTGAAGCCTAAATATTTAGGGAGAAGGAAGATCTCCCCCTGCCTATCTCTCTGCTTCTGCTTTTCAAATAAAATGAAAATAGACACATTTAAAAAACATGGTCTGGGGATGCCTCATGGGTAAAATCTATACGAAACTCAAAACCTCTGGAATGTGAAGCCCTTCTGGTCCCAAGCATTTCCGATGAGGGACACTCGAGCTGCACAGAAGATGAAGGAATAAAGACCTGTGCTGTGTCCATTGTCTGGGCCAGGCAACACAAGGCCCCAGCAAAGCTCATAGCCACAGTTGGCTTTGTAGCTTCACCAAGACAAATGTGGCTTCCAGCCAGGACAGCGACACAGACTCAGGGTAGCAAGACACGCTCCAAGGAGCCCAGGATCTTCTTGTACTCTGCCCACCGGGAGATCTTTGCAATCCAGCACGCAGTACCTTCCACTTGGGTGGAAGGGCAGCTGGCAGGCATACTGCACAGTAAGGAGAGCAGCAGGGGACACACTGCACATTCCCCACAGCACAGGAGGTGCTCTGGGGGAGGGGAAGCAGGAGAAGCTGGAAGTGGTGGCTTCATTTTTTATTGATTAATTCATAACAGATTGTGAATTTGGCCAAGAGGCATGCTGTGCCTGCTCAATGCCATGGTTATGCTGATCTCAAGAGGCTGGCATCATTAGTGCTGCCATCTGTCCTCACGTGGGGAGCAGGAGGCAGGTACTCCAGGGCAGTGGGCTCAAGGGTGACTGTGGGGATCCCCAGGTGAGGGGCCATAGGAGATGGGGACAGGAGAGCAGGGAAAAGCCTTTCTGGAGGGTGAAGCTCTGTGCAGGCAGAGGAATTGGCTGACTCTGATGAGGACTCTGGTGAGCAGCTGGGAGGACCAGGAGCCACTATGGACATGAGTCAAGGTCAGGAGGAGATGGAGAGCCCAAGAATGGTTTCTGAAAGTCTCAGAATCACCTGGATGTGTGGTGCTGTGAGGAACTGCTGCCACATCCAAGGGGTGACACCTCGGGGGCTCCTTGGGCTGGGTCCAAACCAAAGCCAAGGTGACAGAAAAGGGAAATAAATTTGACTAAAAAGGCCCAATACCTCAGCATTTTTGAAAAGAGCCTCTTATGAGTCCTGGGTGGTGGCCAAGAGTGTGGATCAGTGAGCAGGCCACCACCTGCGACACTGATGTCTCCCAGGAGTGCTCTTTTGGCTGCTCCACTTTTGGTTCATTTCCTGCTAACATTCCTGGGAAGCCAGCTGAAGGTGACCCAAATGCTTGGGCCCCTGCCAATCACGGGGTAGACCCAGGTGGAACTAGAGGCTTCTGGCTTCAGTCGGGTCCCATTCTAGCCACTGTAGCCATTTGGGGAGTAAAGCAGCAGACAGAAGATTTGTCTTTCTCTCTCTCTCTCCTCCCAACTCTGCCTTCCCAATAAATAAATATATTCTTAAGGTAACATCAGACGCTTATGTGGTGGCCTACTATGACGGCCAGCCATACCTCAGGGGACTCCAAGGCCAGCCGGCTGATCACCTCCGGGTCATTCTGCATCTCCTCCAGCTCCTGCAGGGTCTTGTCTTTCAGGGTCTCCATCCTTCCCTGGGAACACAGTGACACCAAAAGTGAGGAAGTGGCGAGAGTGGTGGAGCAGTAGACTAGCAAGGTGGAGATCCGCTACTATGCCTCTGCTTCCCAGGGGTTCAAGCAGCAGGGTCCCAGAAAGCACATCCCAGGGGACCAGGGAGCTGGGATGTGGGAAAGCACTTGGCAGCTGGAAGGCAAAACCATAATTCTGCCCTCCTCTCCATCACGTCCCCAGTGCTGGATGGAGCTCTGCAAGGAACAGGCAGGATGGGACAGCCAGGCAGCGGATGATGCAGGCAATAACGTCAGCTCACCCTCTGCCAGGCATCTATTTCTGTCTGGACCAGGAATACACCAGTCCCGCACACAGGGCCCTGCTGGCTCCAACATTGCAGGCTCAACTGTTACTGCTATATTTAGCATAACAGCAGCCTCAGGGGTGCCTCAAGTGTCCCCAGCAAGGTAGCCCTCTCTGTGTCATGAAAAATGAACTGCCACACACATGTTCTCACTGAAGCAGAAAAACAATCATGTAATTGCCTCTTGGGCGAACTGAGAGGAAAATTGACTAACCCAAATAGGCCGTCTGCTCCAACAGGGAGCTGGGGGCAGTGGAGTTCTCCCTGGCCCCTGCCGAGGGCCTTCGATTGCACATGTGACGGGCGGGTCACTGCAGGCCCGGGAGGGAAGCCCTGGGACACAGGAGACAAAGCACAAAAATAACTGGCTGAGAGGAGGATCCATGCATCCAGTGTTCCGCTTTTCTAGAAGGGTATATGCTATTTGGGCTTCATTTTGGTCTTTCTCATTACAAAGGCTACATTAGCTTTCCCAAGATCCCAGCACTGCACATCCCACAGGTCTCACACCAGCCTCCCACACCAGCTCTCAGCTGGCGGGGGCTGTGCTGGTGACTCAGCCAAGAAAGCACCTGGAATGCAGAGCCACGTGCCGAGTGGACAGAAGCGACCTGGTTTCCGTAACTATAATGGGAAGGGAACACCTCCAAAGCTTGTCAGAGACCACATATCCCTCCTCTGCCAGCGAACTCCCAGCTCGCTCCCTGCAGCTATTAATGGCATCTCCTTTCACGCTCCAAGTGTCCTGGCTTTCACAGCACACTCAGGGACACCTGATGGAGGGAGAAGGGTCCCTGTGGGAGCATTGCCACTGCCTGTTCCCTCCTGGGTCTGAACACAGCAGGGATGGTCAGTTCTGCACTGCACTGAGGCCTAGCAAAAGCTGAGCAGGAATGCAGGTGCTGCATCCCACCAGCGGTGCCCTGCTGCAGGAGGTTGGACAGGGCCAGAAGCCAGTCCCTCCCGGGGACAGCTATGCAGCTGCTCTAGGTGAGAGGCAGAGGGCAGCTCCATGCCAGTGATGTCACCAGAGAGGCCAGGGGGTTTCGGAGCACCTGCCAGGTGAGCTTAACTGCACAGTCTCCCCTGGTAACGCCAGGGGGCAGCAGTTTTCCCGCGTGCAGACAGAATGGATCAGAAAGGTTCAGGAGGCTATAGCCGGCCCAATCCCAAACCTGCACGCTGTCCTGGCCCTGCTGCTCCCCAAACCCTGCTCAAAGGCTGGGGCAGTGACAGCAGGCTGCAGAGACCTACGACGGGGTGGGATCCCGGGGAAGCACACTGCAGTCCTGCCACCAAACAAGGGCCTACCCCACCAGGGGCGACAGAAGGAAGGCACGAAACCCATCCACATCCAGGCTCCAGGGAGAGCCACTTGTCGGCTGCGGGGCCCTGCACCTGCAGAACTGCCTGCAGCCTCAGGCTCTTCACTCACCTGGAAAGTGAGTCTGGTGAGGGCCCCTCCCTCACAGGGTGGGGGCTAGGACCACTGAGAGAACACAGGTGGAAGGTCAGCTTGGTGCAAGGCCAAGATCAAACTGGTGAACGAGCATGACGCAGTGGCCAAATTAGTAATGTAGTGTTAGAAACTGAAAGTGAGAGATTTTAAAAATACAACAATATGCAAACACACATCCCGTTGGCTGTCAAAATGACACCATCATGGGTTGTGTAAGCCTTCAAAACGCCACTGCACTCAAGTGGGGAAGAGATCTCATTTTAGAATCTTTTTTTTTTTTTTAAAGATTTATTTTTATTATTTTTTCATTGGAAAGGCGGATATACAGAGAGGAGAGACAGAGAGGAAGGTCTTCCGTCCGATGATTCACTCCCCAAGTGAGCGCAACGGGCCGATACTATGCCGATCCGAAGCCAGGAGCCTCTTCCGGGTCTCCCACACGGGTGCAGGTTCCCAAAGCTTTGGGCCGTCCTCGACTGCTTTCCCAGGCCACAGGCAGGGAGCTGGAAGGGAAGCGGGGCTGCCGGGATTAGAACCGGCGCCCATATGGGATCCCGGGCGTGCAAGGCGAGGACCTTTAACCACTTGCGCCACCGCGCCGGGCCCTCATTTTAGAATCTTGACGAGAACTGCTCATGGTTGGCTTGTAAGGGCCTTGGGGGCACCTGTGGGGCCCTGGGGCATGTTTGGAGCACTGACCTAGTTCTTAGAGATCCCACTCTGCAATCAGAGGGCTGTGGATTTGAATCTGAGTTCTACTGCTTCAGGCCGCAGAGTTTTCAACAGGATAAGTGGGTCTGGCACATGGTAGGCACTGCGGGAGGATCTGGGGACCCTCATAGCCACGGCCCATAGCTGGCAACACCGATGGGACTGGGCATTGTGGGGCATGGGGGATCCCATACTGGAGCATTTATTTGGGTCCCGGCTACTCTGTTTCTCATCCACTTTCCAGATAATGAACCCGAGAAGGCAGCAGATGATGGCCCAAGTACTTGGGACCCTGCCACCCATGTGGGAGACCTGGGTGGAGTTCCTGGCTCCTGGTTTTGGTCTGGCCCAATCCTGCCTATTGCAGGCATTTGGTGGTGAAACAGTAATAGAAGATTCTCTCTCTTTCTCTCTCTGCCTTCCCATCTTTGTCACTCTACCTCTCAAATAAATCTTACAAAAAGAATCACCCACACAGGCTTAGAGGTGAGGTCACTCGCCCCAGACCAAGCGGCCTTGCCTCCCGGGCCTAGGTCTCTGAGCCTGCCTCAGTGTCCCAGTAGCTCCTACATACAGCCGAGTCCCAAGTCCTCTTCCAGACGTCAAGGTTTAGCTTGCAGTGATGGCTTCCCTGTAGCAAAGCCAGCCAGGCCCAACTGCTTGGGCATCTATTGTCTTACTTTTCCTTCCTCCCAACCCTCTGAGGGGAACTGGGGTGGCCCTAGCCCCATGTGACAGAGTGAGAGGAATGGGTCTGTCCACCAGTCCATGGTGGAGGCAGGGGGAGGACGGACGCAGGCCCTGCTGCTTCCGCTCGGCGCCCGGGGACGACGAGGCAGGCGGCACGGTGGGTGACATTGCTTGGGGCAGGGCCTCACACACCTGGAGGCAAGCTATGGATTGGCGGTGCCATCACAAGGAATGTCAGCATGCGAGGCAGCAGCAATGTGGCCACCACGTGATCAGAACTAATGTGCACACCTCGTGGCTACAACACACAGGGGCCCAAACTGGCCAGCTCCACAGGGTGACTCACGCAAGGACAATGGCTGCCTCGAGACTGGCGTCCAAGAGGCCAGGAGACCCCACACTGGGTAGGAATAGGGGCAGGGAAGGGCAGGAGGGCTCCAGCCTGTGCCGGAGGCTCTCGTGGCCCCCGCTGCCAGAAACTGTGCTCAACACTCTACTACCAAAGCTGCCAAATGGCTACATGTCAAATGTCTTCTTTTTTTTGACTTTCCTCACCTGTAAAATGGGTAAATAAACCTCACAGTGCTATTTCTTCCGACATCAAAGCCCTGTGTTAATCTTTCCAGTAATTCACATAACCACACTGGTCGGTGGAGTAAGCAGAGTGTGTGACTGCCACAAATTAAAAGATGAAATGAGGTCCAGAAACAGGCAGAAGTGTCTGCCCCATGTCCTCACCGGACCCTGGGGGTCAGCTGCCCAGAGGCGCAGTCCAGCCCTGCTCTGGCGCTTGCACCCTACCACCGCCCATCCCTCAGCACTGCCCATCAAGGGCTGTGAGCAGGATGGTGAGTTTAGTTAATTTGTGCCACGGTCAGAGATCACAAGCCATTCTCCAAGCCTTGCCCTCACACGTGTCAGGCTGGGCAGACAAGTTCCATCCTGCTCCACTTAGCACAGCACCACCCAGCCCTGGAAGTTAGGGGAGCCTTTCCCGCACAGATCCCTGAGGCCCAAGTCAAGCACGGCCCAATGTAGCAAGCACTGCTCTGGCTCTGTCTTCTGGAAAAGGCATCTGGCCCAAGCAGCACAACCAGCTAAGAGGTGGCCCCAAGGCGTGGGCACCCCCGTTGGTAGCATTCAGACTCCCAGTTGCCCCGAGTGGCAGAAAAGCCCAACGGGAGCTTCTTGGAGTGGCCCTGAGCACCAAGGGTTACAAGCAGAGAACTCCATCCAGCTCTCACTTGTGTGGCAGGGCTCAGGTACCACGGCCATGATCCACTGCTTCCTCAGGTCTGTTAGCAGGGAGCCAGATCGGAAGTGTCACAGTGTCCCGGATAGGATGCCAGTGTTGCAAGTGGCAGCTTTAGCTGCTGGGCTACAAAGCTGGCCCCAGTTAGTCTGGTTTAAAAAGAAAAAACCAACACACAACAAGCCACTGAGGATGCGTGTGGTGGGGCTGTCCAGAATGGTGCCAGTGGAGCAGGGCACGGGAATGAGGACAGCTCTGTAGGCTCTGTGGGCCTCGCCTGTTCAGGCACAGGCACCCACGTACACAGAGGGGCAGCTGGCTGCATGCTGTTCACAGGAACAGCAGTTCAACTCTCTACAGGAACAGCATCAGCTCAGGGATGACCAGCCTGGGAGCACAGCGGAAAGCCACCCAGGACTGAGTGTCCCCTGCGCCTCCCTGACAGCCATTGGGAAGGGCAAGTTGGCCTCTGGCCTTTCTTGCTCCCCTCAACTCCCTTCTTAAAGAGTTTTGTCTCCTGGGCAGTTTACACTTTCACCAGAGGTCATACCCTGGCCACCTGCAAGGGCCAGGCCCCAGGAGGGAGTGTGGCCCTCAAGGAAAGTAGCATGGGTGCTGGCTGGGCTCCAGGTTCCTCCTGTGGGAGGAGCAGGCCCAGCTTGTCAGACCTGCCAGGTCTCTGGCGAAGCTGGGAACTCAGGTCAACATGCACTTTCCTGTTTATCAATTTCAGGAACTAATTCAAGGTTGTAAAGGCATTGGCTGGGTCATCAGAACGCTGCCAGGGCTGCACTTTGCAACCACACCCTCTATGAGTGGCGTGGGCAAGGATGACAGGTCATTAGAAAGGGGAGGCAAGAGGGAACAGGTAGCAGACACAGTCTACTGGTGTCCAGGCAACTACCTTTTGCTTCACAGCTGATGATGGCGGAAATCGCACTTCCAGGCCAGCCTGGCTCTTGCAGGCCACCCGCGTGGAGGGGATCAGGAGTCTCTGGCCACCAGCTCCTGTGGCTCTTATCTCTGGTTTCAACTTCACTCCACAACTTCCTGCTTTGACTCAATGCTCCCACAAGCCTCCATCAGGGAAGCAAGAACTACTGGGAGATAGTAGGGCCCCAAGGCAGATCACAGGCCAACGTGGCCCTGTTTCTGGACACTCCCTGGCATAGGTGACACAGCCTTGGAGTGGAGAGGTGTGCAGGGGCTCAGGGCAGCCTTCCAGATCTTTCTTAGGGAAAAAAGAAGTGAACCTTTGGACAATTCTTGCTCAGTAAGTATGTCATAGCTGTTTATCTCAAAAACAAGTAAGAAGGAACTTCCAGAAGTGTGTGAAAACATGGAAGTAAATGCCTGAATTTATCTGGGAGGAAAATACACTTATAATGCATGACAAACATGTATCAGAAAGAAAAACCAGTGAGCTTCTTTTTTATTTTATTTTATTTTTTTGGTACTAAAATGAACTTGTACTCTTAGTTCCATTTTCCACAGACTTGGGGAAGCCTCCCAGCTTCAACTGACAGAAATTCAAGTAGAAAAAGAAAGCCAAAGGCAGCATTTTCTAGGCAGCGAGCTAGCAGCAAGGGGAACTGGCTCGGGGTGACCTGTGAGAGCCCCAGCTCACTCTGTCAGCCCGGGCAATGCCAGCTCTCCCTGCACAGGTGACGCAGAAGAAAGGCACACGCTGTGGGGTGCATGGTTCAGATCCTTTGGGACAGTGACTTAGCTGGGAAATGGGGCGCCACGGTGACAATTCTACCTGGAAAGGGCGGAGTTCCTCAGGTAGCAAATAGCCCTGAGAGGGCTTAGCAAATGGCAGCGTGCTGAACAAATGCTAGCCACTCTGCCCCTCTGGGGGGTTATAGGAGGATTAGGGGCGCTTCCTGAAACCTGCGGTGTGATAATGACTGAACTGAACCATGGCCAGGGCCTGGGTAGGGCGGGCTCCAGCCTCTGATGGCTCCTCCCCTCACACTCACCAGCCAGGACTTATTGGTTAGCAACTTTCAAGTCTGAAATCACACTGTAGAGTGTTTCTGATAAAGCCCCTCAGATTTCTGTACATTTCCCACATTTAACTAAGGTGCTGGAAGCAGCTGTAACCATGGTAACCTGCAAAATTCAATCTACACATGTCACACAGGGAAATGACCCCATCCCACCCCTCAACCTGCTGTTGCCCTAGAGACCTTCCTAACCCTGCTGCTACAGGATGGCTGGCTACTTTGGTCTAGTTGTCTTTCCCCAGATGCTTCCAGCTATGAGATCAAATCAGTGCACTGGGCACCTGCTCCCCTGACCCAAAGCACCGCTCAATAATCGCTTTCCCCTAGGCTGGCAAGCCAGAGGCTAGGCCAGGAGGGAACTCTAGTTTCTGGTCTTCCCAACGAATGGCTAGGACGGGCTG